TTCAGAGAAACAAAATAAAGGCTTTGAATTTTTTAGTTTGAGGGTTAAGAGGTAGAAGAGACTTTTCTAGGATCTCAAATATGATGGTTATTTCTGGTGGGCATGGGGAGAAGAACCTGGAGAAAACATACTTAGCTTAGCAAACAGGGAGCAGAGGCCAAGTTAAGTAGGGAAAATACACTGAAGTCCTGAATTAAGTCCATCTTGTCAAGCCAAGTTCAACTCAATGAACTGACATCTCCTCTCTCAACACCCATTATCTTAGCACCAATTTTTCCTTTTCCCTTAGGGGACAACTGCTTTGGAAAGGAATTCCTTTAAATGACACATTATGACCTGCCTATTTACATTTAAAGATGAATTTCCAAGCTTGGCTTGAAAGAACACAGAAAATACATAAATATAGTCTCTCCCAGTGATCCATCCATTTCACTATTTAGACCCTCTTTCATGAGAAGAAAAACAGGTAGATAAAGCAAGCGACGCAAGGCCAAAGAAAGACACAGCATCATTAGGAAAGGTGTAAAAAACAATAGAGGTAGTATTATCCATGACCTCTAGGAATTCTTAGTACTTTGAAACCTTTTGGTACAAATCTTTTTTTTAATATAAATTTATTTATTTTTAGTTTTCAATATTCACTTCCACAAGTTTTTGAGTTCCAAATTTCTCACCCCTCCCCCCACCCCAAGATGGCATGCATTCTGAATACCCCTTCCCCTGGTCTGCCTTCTCTTCTATCTCTCCCCTCCCTTCTCTTATCCCCTTCCCCTTCTATTTTCCTGTAGAGCAGGATAGACTTCTGTACCCCATTTCCTGTATTTCTTATTTCCCAGTTGCATGTGAAAACATTTTTTTTAAAAATGTGTTTTAAAACTTTGAGTTCCAAATTTTCTCCCTTCCTCCCTCCCCACCCACCCTCATTGAAAAGGCAAGCAACTCAATATAGGTTGTACATGTGCAGTTATGCAAAACACTTCCTTAGTAGACATGTTGTGAAAAACTAACTCTATTTCCCTTAATCCTATCCTGCCCTCCCATTTATTCTATTCTTTCTTTTGACCCTGTCCCTCCTCAGAAGTATTTGCTTCTGATTATCCTCTTTCCCAATCTGCCCTCCTCTCTATCACTCCCCTGCTCTCTTGTCCCCTTCTCCCCCTATTTTCCTGTAGGGTAAGACAGATTTCCATACCCAATTGAATGTGTATGTTATTCTCTCCTTAAGCCAAATCCTATGAGAATAAGATTCCCTCATTCCCTCTCACCTTCCCCTGTTTCCCCTCCACTGTGAGAGACTTTTCTGTTTTTTTTTGTGAGATAATTTACCCCATTCTACCTCTCCCTTTCTTCTCTGAGTATCATCCTCTCTCATCCCTTAATTTTATTCTCCAGATATGACCCCTTAATCTTCAACTCACCCTGTGCCCTCTATCTATCTATATATACATACATACAATTTTTTCCTTCAACTACCCTAATACTGACAAAGTTCTCATGAGTTACAAATATCATCTTTCCATGCAGGAATGTAAACAGTTCAATCTTAATAAGTCTCTTATGATTTCTCTTTCCTGTTTACCTCTTCATGTTCCACTGAGTCCTGTATTTGAAAGTCAAATTTTCTGTTTAGCTCTGGTCTTTTCATCAGGAATGCTTGAAAGTCCTCTATTTCACTGAATGACCATTTTTTCCCCTGAAGGATTATACTCAGTTTTGCTGGGTAGGTGATTCTTGGTTGTAATCCTATCTCCTTTGCCCTCCGGAATATTATATTCCATGCCCTGCGGTCCTTTAATGTAGAAGCTGCTAAATCTTGTGTTATCCTGATTGTGTTTCCACAGTACTTGAATTGTTTCCTTCTGGCAGCTTGTAATATTTTCTCCTTGACCTGGGAACTCTGGAATTTGGCTACAATATTCCTAGGAGTTTTCCTTTGGGGATCTCTTTCAGGAGGAGATCTGTGGATTCTTTCAATTTCTATTTTGCCCTCTGGTTCTAAAATTCAGGGCAGTTTTCCTTGATAATTTCTTGAAAGATGATGTCTAGGCTCTTTTTTTGATCATGGCTTTCAGATAGTCCAATAATTTTTCAATTCTCTCTCCTGGATCTATTTTCCAGGTCAGTTGTTTTTCCAATGAGATATTTCACATTGTTTTCTAATTTTTCATTCTTTTGGATTTGTTTTACAGTGTCTTGATTTCTCATAAAGTCACTAGCTTCCAATTGCTCTATTCTAATTTTTAAGGAAGTATTTTCTTCAGTAATCTTTTGGACTTCCTTTTCCATTTGGCCAATTTTTCTTTTTAGGGCATTTTTCTCCTCATTGGCTTTTTGGACCTCTTTTGCCATTTGGGTTAGGCTATTTTTTTAAGGTGTTATTTTTCTTCAGTATTTTTTGGGTCTCCTTTAGCAAGCTGTTGACTTGTTTTTCATGATTTTCTTGCATCACTCTCATTTCTCTTCCCAGTTTTTCTCCTTCCCTTACTTGCTTCTCAAAATCCCTTTTGAGCTCTTCCAAGGCCTGGGACTGATTCATATTTTTCTTGGAGGCTTTGGATGTAGGAGCTTTGACTTTGTTGTCTTCTTCTGGTTATATTTTGATCTTCTTTTTCACCAAAGTAAGATAATATAGTCTGACTCTTTTTGCGCTGCTTGCTCATGATCCCAGCCAATTACTTGAGTTTTAAACTCTTTGTTAAGGTAAGAGTCTGCTTCCAATGTGGAGAGTGTACTGTCCCAAGCTTCAGGGGTTTGTATAGCTGTTTTCAGAGATACTTGTAGGGACCTGTAAATTTTCAGTTCTTCCAAGGTGGTATGATAAGGGGTGAGGTGTTTACTCCTTTCCTGGCCTGTGACCACAAGTATTCCTTTCTGTCCTGTAACTGTGAGGAGGGTTCCTCTCACAGCCACTACAAGCTCCACCACGCGCTCCCCTCACCCCAGCACTGCCGCCCAGAACTGTGACCCAGATCCAACACGGGCAAAGCAAGAGATTCCTGCCTCAGCACTGGCAAAGAGATCCCTGCAGTCCCTCTCTGATCAGCCACTGGATTCCCCCTCAGTCTGTGGCCTGGAAGCTCGGGAAGCTGCTGCCCCCCCGGGCCAGCTCTTGGGGAATGGAGCTGAGACCCCGACTTCCTCTCTGACCACCAACGGAAACAGACTTTTCCCACTGACCTTCTAAGTTGTCTTTGGCATTGGTGGATTGAGGAGTCTGGAAACCTCCACAGCTGCCCGCAATTCAGTCCTCTGAGGGCTGCTCCAGGTTTGCTGCGGCCTGCGCGCCCACCCTGCACTGCACTGTGCTCCCAGCCCAGTGTGATACACCTTTCTGATCAATCATCCAGGTTGTCTTGGGCTGGAAATTTGTTTCACTCTGTCTTTTTGTGGGTTCTGCTGCTTCAGAATTTGTTTAAAGCCATTTTTTTGTGAGTATTTGGAGGGGTTTGGGGGAGAGCTCAAGCAAGTTACTGCTTTCACTCCGCCATCTTGGCTCTGCCTCCCTGGTACAAATCTTTTAAACCTTCTGGTGGACTTCTGGTCCTGAACATTATTTGAGATTTAGTAGACTTAAAGGAATTATAGAGAAGAACATTAGAATGATAGAATTGTAGAAGTTTTGGACTAGAAGAGGCCTTAAAATGGATGGCGGCAAGCATTGTTCATAGAAGAATAAATGAGAAAGATTCAAGCTTTTAGTTTGGAAAGATGAACATGGAACATGGATATGATCTCTGCTAGTCTAAAAAAAAACCTCCTTTTTGAGGGACATGACCTTCATGGGATAGGCTGTCTCTGCTCTAGACTCTCTTCCTCCTCTTGCATGATACCTTCTCCCTTTTCTATAATCTTCTCTCTCTGAAACTTTACATGCTAGAAATTATCCTGCTTCATGAAAGCTGGCTAATTGATACCTCAATGCTATTGACATCAGAGGTGGGAAAACAGATTGGTTATGTGAGATGCCTTGTCTCTCTTTAAGGCTCCTCATTTTGACCTGTTTGGAGGTTATTCAGGAAGATAAGCTGCCACTGATTAAGAGGGGAGACTGGAAAGCTAAAGCAGGGAGCACCAAGGCCAGGAGCAGCTTGTCCAGAAGACTACAGAGGTGGTCAGAGAGAGGCACTTTGGTGCTGAGAAGTATAGGGATGGTAAATACGGTCATAGGAAAGTAAATTGAAATTATCCTCCCCCAGGAACATTCACAGAGTTAATTTGAATTGAATCTTTTTCTTCCTCCTAGCACTGAGTGGTGGACTTGGACTCAGGAAGACCTGGGTTCAAATCTTACCTCTGACACTTATTAGTTGTGTGTGACTAGACAAGTCACTTAACTACTGTGAACCAGTTTTGGCTATAAAATGGAGTCCTTTCTAGCTTTCCATTTATGATCCTATGATCTTAAGATATCAACTGACCACTGTGGCCATGGTCTTGTTACTCCTGTCTTCCCCTCTGTAATCTCTCCCCTGGGTGTCCTTTTTTGTTTCAAGGCTTCCTTTAAAATGTTGGTAAATAAAGACTCATTGGTTTTTAGCATTAAAGACTATTCTGACTCTTTTGAAAAAATTTCTAAGTCCCCTAAACAGCTTGGGATAGACTTAAATTTTATAAAATCAACTATATGTTAGGGAATATATTCCTAAATTTTGAGAATGTAAATATAAAAACATTTATTAAGTGCTTGCTTTGTGCCCAGGACTGTTCTAGTCACTGAGGACATTATAACAAGGACAAAGTCAGAAGCTTACATTTAATCAGGGAGTGGTGGCCAGAGAGAGGCACTTTGGTGCTGAGAAGCATAGGATTGGTGAGTGGGGTCATACGAAAGTAAATTGAAACTACCCTCCCCCAGGAATGTTCACAGAGTTAATTTAATCATGGTTTTATAACTAGATGCACTCTGGGCAGTGGCTGTAAAGGAGATGGCCAGAGAGTAGACACTGGCGTGAAGCATGATTGAGGGTATCCTAAAATAGTAAGCCAGGAGAGGCACTCACCAGTCAGGACAGAGGGGCCTCAGAGCAGAAATTCCAGAGATGAAAAGGTGAAAAATCTCTAGGGCTTGTGGTCTCTGATGTGGGCACTAAAATATTTTGGCAAGGCTGTGAAGAGATGGCCAAAAAGTGTTTGTTATTTTTAGTTTCTAAGTGCCCCAAACAAACTGGGAAGTGATTATAAAATCGAGAATATGTTAAGGGAGTGTATATTCCTAATTTTGTAATTAACACCAAGGTGGAGAACCATGCAATCCCCCCAAAATGTCCTTTAGTGCCACTGTCAGAGATAAAATGCTGTGCTAGATGAATCATGGATCTCACCTACTGAGGCAATCCTTACATTCCTTTCATTTTCTCCTAGCTTTCCATCTCAACAAGTCATGTCTACCATATCAAGCCAATCTGAGGTGGGTCCACAGAATACTTTTATGGCTTCATGATATGGAAAGATGGTAGAGTGTAAAAGGGAGAAATATGTGACTCAGATTCAAGAGACCTTGTCAATCACTCAGTAAGCATTTATTAGGCTCCTATTAAGTGCCACGCAGGCAGCTAGGTGGTTCAGTAGACAGAGTACTGAGCCTGGAGTCAGGAAGACTCATCTTCCTGAGTTCAGGTCTGCCCTCAGGCACTTACTAAATGTGTGACCCTGGGCAAGTCACTTTACCCTGTTGCCTCAGTATTCTCATGTGTAAAGTGAGTTGGAGAAGGAAATGACAGTATCTTTTACAAGAAAACCCTGAATGGAATCATGAAGAGTCAGAAGTGACTATAATGACTGAACAACAACAACAAAGTGTGCCAGGCACTGTGCTAAGCACTGGGGAAACAAAAAGAAGTAAAAAGACAGTCCCTGCCCTCAAGGAGCTGACAAGGGGGAGACTACATATAGACAACTATGTATAAACAAGCTATGTGTAGGATACATAAGAAGTAATGAACTATTACTTATAAATAATAATAACAAATAAACATGTGATTTCATGTAGGATCATTTCCTGTGAGCCTCCACTTCCTTATCAGTAAAATGGAAATGACTATACTTCCACTACCTATCTCACAGAGCTGTTGTAAAGAAAGTGCTCTGTAAACCTGAAGGCATGATATAAATGAAAGTCTTTCATTATAATTTAAAACAGGAGGTTTAGAGTAGGTGACCCATTGTTGCTCTAAAATTTTTATTGAGTCTATATATTCTTGTGGGACGTTGGAAAGAAGAATGTTGATCACTTTGTATGCCTCATAAATGAAAGTGTAGATATCAAAGTGTATCAGGTGATAGAAAGAAAAAGAAAACAGAGTCCTTAGACTAGCTGGCTGCAGCTATGTAGTGGATGAAAAGGAACACTTGGCCCCCCGGGTATCTGTGGGAAAGAGTAGATAGTGAGTATAAAAGAAAAGGAGTAAGAAGACAAGATGAGGAAGAGAAAGAAGGAGAACGTTCAGAAGGGGTTAGCAAACAAGGTGTTATCTAGAAGGAGGGATGCTGGAGAAAGTCCCTTAGCATTCCAAATCTATGATTCTTTGATCCTGTGAACTCCAGTAACATGAATGGGTAAATAGAAGAGCCTAGAAAGGATCTTTGGGAATATCTAGCTCAATTCCCTTTTTCTGAGATGAGAAAACTGAGGCTCAGAAATAAGTGTTAGAGTGACTTGCTTAAGGTCATGTGGCTGGTAAGTAGCAGAACTGGGACCATGGAGTTTTCTGACTCCAGGCCCCATTGTTTCTTCTACTTTTCTGGGCTACCAGGACCCACTGTCAGGAATGGGAAGAGAAGTGCTACATTTTTTCAAGCATAGTCCCTTTTGTTTTCCATGAGATCACAAAGAGCTCCAAATATTCCCATCAGTTTTCTTTTTTGAAAGAATATTATCAAATCTAGTTACAAAATGACAGTTGTTCCTTTTCTCCAAATCACATTCCTATAACTCTATTTCCCCTGTCCTGGAACTTGTGAGGGAAGTAGCTCTACCAATGTCACTGTAATTTTTTAATGAAGTTATGAAAGAGAAAAAATTATGAGACAAGAACATGTAAAATTAGGGAAATGAAAATCTCATTACACTGAGAAATACAAGAAATAAACAGAGACAATTGACAACCTTCCACATGACTTAGCCACATGACACTGGGGGAAATTACAGTGTTTGGTTACTGTTAAACAGTGTGAGTTGGGACAGACGTGGAGAGGTAAGTGAGGACCAGTGAGTGAATTACTAGACAGGCACGTGCAGAAATGATTCGCTTGGAGACTTGAGTAGATCCTAATAGAAGTTCTATGCCTCATTTGGGGATAATGGCATGGAGCTTCTGTATGCTGTGATGCACATTAATTAGCCATGTAAATGACTTTGAAATGACAAGTAAATAGAAACACATTTTGGAAAATGACATCAAGACTTCAGTTGGAGCAGAGTACATAGGTTTTCACAGTTTTGTCTAATTGCTCATTTTCAAGAGTTGCACATTCAAGCCAAATTTCCTCATCAGCCTTAACTAGGACTTTAAGGTCAAGGCCTATACTAGGGAAGGAAAGTATAAGGCAGCATCTAATTGTCCATTACCTCAATAATTCAAGCTAAAACAAAGCATATCACCCTATTTTTCTTGAGTTTTCTGGTAAAAGGATTGTAGAGTCTGAATTACCTGAATCATTACCTGAATTTTCAGCCTCATTTTCTGTATGTTTATCCATTTCCTCACTCCTTTGTGCCAAGCACAGATTGGATATGTGGGGTGAGTGAGAGTAAGGAGTCGAGGATGACACTAAGATTTCAAGCCTGGATAACTGAACTTACTAAAGTAATAAGGAAGTTGGGGAGAGGGGAGGTTTTGGGGAAAAGATAATGAGTTCTCCATTAGACTGGTTGAGTTTGAAGTGCCTAGAAGGTATCCCATTCAAGATATCCAAAAGGCAGATGGTTATACAGCATTAAAGCTAGGGGGAGATTAGGGGGGATATATAATATACATTGGGAAATCATCTGCAAAAAGATGATTATTGAAACCATAGGACATGATAAAATCAGTAAGTGAGATAACAGAGCAAAATGGAGAATAGGGCTGAGGTCAGAACCTGGGGGATACCCACAGTTGCTGGCTATGACATGAAGAGCCAACAAAGGATAAGGTCAAGTCCCAGACATTAGTAGGAAAACCAGGAGAGAAAAGTGTTACAAAAACCTAGACAGAATAAACAGGAGGAGGAATCAATCAAGTTAGGTTAACAAGCATTCATTAAGCACCTGTGTGCCAGGCAGTGTGCAAAGTGGTAGGGATGTAAAGAAAAGCAAAAAAGAAAAAAGAAAAGAAGAATGGGGCTAGGGAAAAACTATTAGATTTGATAATTAAGAGACCATTGATCACTTTGGAGAGAACAATTTCAGTTGAATAATGAGGTGGGAATCCAGATTCTAGAGTGTTTACCACCCCCCAAAAAAGAGGTAGAGTCATTGTGTATACTAGGCTTTCTTTGTCTTTTTTTCCCCTGCTTTCTTTTTTTAATTTATGGAATAAACCAAGCATTTCCATAACAAAGTATAATAAAAATGATAGCATATGAAACTGCAAATCTATTATGTACAACTTGCTATTTATTCCTTTTAAATATATCATAAACTTATCATCTAAATTTCTTTTTTTTTCCTTTTCCCTCCTCCCACCCTAGAGATGACTACCATTAGATACAAATAGGAATATACACAAGCATATATATGTAAAATGATTCAATACATACTTCTATTTAACAGGTATTTCTCCGGATGCAAATGGTGTCTTTCTTCATCTAGTCTTTATTGTTAATTTGGGTGTTTATAATAGTCAAAATGACTTATTTGCTTAGAGTCATTCTTAAAACATTATTGCTCTTACTGTATACAATGTTATCTTGGTTCTGCTCATTTTGGTCTTCATTATTTTATGGAGGTCTATCCATGTTTTTCTAAGATTATTGAGCTCACCATTTCTTATAGTACAATAGTATTCCATTACAATCATAAACCATAACTTGTTCAGCCATTCCCCAATTGATGGGCCTCCCTGCAATTTCAAGTTCTCTGCCATCACAAAGAGAGTTGTTACAAATGTTTAAGAACATATAGGTTCTTTTCCTTTTTCCCTAATTATCTTTAGGGACCTAGTAGTGGTATTGGCAGTTTAATAAGTCTTTGAGGATAATTCCAGATTGCTTTCCAAAATGATTATAGTGTTTGACTTTCTCAAGCAGTTTAGCCACAAAGGGGAAAAGATATATAGAATGATCCCTAGTGGGGATTATGAGATCAAGTGAGGTTTTTTTAAGGATAGGGGAGACATGAAAATGTATTTAGTTAGCAGGGAATCAAGTAGATAGGGATTCATTGAAGGTAAGAGAGATAGATGGGGGGAATTGATAAAGCAGTCAGGAGGGATTGGATCAAGGGTACATGTAGAGTGGTTTGCCTTGTCAAGGAGAAGGGCCATCTCTTTACCTGATATGGGAGAAGATGATGTAATAGGAGAAAATATCTGAATGACATGAAATGAGAAGATGGGGAAAAGAGGAAGGTCTCATTTTTTTTTTTAGTGGCATATGAAACAAGGTTCTCAGCTGAAATGGTGGGGCCAGGAACTTTGGGAGGTTTGAGGAGAGACAAGAATGTTTGGAACAGCCACTGTGAGACAGTGGGAAAAATAGAAAGATTGCCTTGCTGCAGTGAGGGACCATCCATGTAGATAACTTAGACAATGCAGATGGATAATGGCCTGGTCCAGGGTGGGAAACCTGCAGCCTCAAGGCCGCATGGGACCTTCTAGGTCCTTGGGTGAGGACAAAACAAATCCTTTTATTAAGGGGATTTGTTCTGTGAAGTTTGGATTCAGTCAAAGAGCCACACTTGAGGACCTAGGGGGCTACATGTAGCCTGGAGGCCACAGGTTCCTCACCCTTGGCCTAAGCCCAGAATGAAATAGGAGGAAGATAGTGGCCGAGATTACACTGAGGAATTAGCATACTGCGATTAGCTTTTCCCCATCTGTTTCTGACCCAAAAAGTCAACACCTTTGCATCAATATTCTTCTGATGATGCTATATGGCTACAAACTATGGAACACAACTATTATCA